CCGTGAGGATGAAGGGAATGGGATAGGAGTGGAAAAAGATCTTCACCACCATCCACGTGGAGAAGTTAAGCATCCGAGCGCGTGGAAGCCTGCACACAAAGGCACGTGGCACCATCCCGTTATGTGTCGGTGATAGTAAACAGCCCAAAAGGGAGCAGGCTTGCCAGAAGTGGTGGGCACGGGACGGGACGGGAGAGAGAGCACACCCTGGGATTTTTTGTATGAGCGCGCGATGTATGTAGATAGGATTGAAGCAGCGCGCCAGGTGTAGGAGCACGTAGGCGCGCAGAAACATGGCCATCCCCAGTGTCTTGGTCATCTCCGCGTCTGGACTTGCCGCGAGTATGATGGGCGCATCAGTAAGTGCGTGAGTGCGCGGGAGATTCATGAATGGACCCCGGTAGGAAGGCGCACTGGTGCCGGGGAAGGGATGGAAACAACAGATGGCCACTTCACACCAGAACTGGAACACTCGGCCGCCAGCACAGCATTACGCCTCGTGAGCGATGATGGCCAATGGAGCAGTGAGCGAGAAGAGCGGAGAGGAATACCTTCCAGCGAAGTGACGAATTCTTCCACACCACCAGCCACATCGGGTTGAAGATGTGGAGCTGTAGCGCATTCGTTCGTAATTTCACGCGCCCCCCCCCACGAGTCAACCCAAGCAAGCGGGAGCAGAGAAGGGTCCGCGAGCGAGTGGTATGGCCCATGGCGTGGAAGGTACCTTTCGCTTGACCCAGGGCTTTCGAGCAGTCTTGATCTCCTGGGTCTTGTCGAGCACTTTGGCGCGGTAGAGGTCTAGAATTTGCAATACTGACCAGCCAGTTGTGTGTTGTTGTTGTTGTGTGTTGTGTGTCCATATAGGAATGTGATTTCAGAGCAGCGCCATGTGCCGTTGGTCCCAGCTGGGGAGGGGCCTACCAAGCACAGCCGTGGAGGAAGAGAGCACTATCTTGATGGCGCGCGTGGACTCGTTGTTACGCCATTCGGAAGAGTCCCTCCACCCGAGCTGCACCTACACGCCCACGTGGGACACGGCACACGGCATCCATACCGCACACGGCACACATGGGTCACAAAGGGTCACTGTGACCTCTGGGCAGCGCTAGCGGGGGACCAAACCATGGCCACCATGAGCACGATGCTGCTGCAGGCGTTCACAGCGATGAGCAAGTTGCGAGCCAGCAGCCTCCTGTCATGGCTTCTCCTCTCACGAACTTCCTCATACACGGAAACCACCCGCTCACGCCTTTGCACGCACCACGTACGCACGAGAAGAGCGAGGGTTCGCGTGAGTGTGAGGGAGTGCGAAAATGAACAGCTTTGGGGGGAGGGCAGTGCCAGGGAAAGTAGCGGTGCTCCTCAGGTGCTTCGGCCAGGAGCGGTCGGTGGTCTTCGTCGGTGCCGGCAGCAATGCGAGAGGCCCGACGCTGGCGGTGCCCCACGTTCAAAAACACGGCCCTGCGCGACATGCTGGCTCTGTGCCTCCTCCGCGCAGGCCACGATCTTGGTTTCTCTCAGTCCAAGGGGTGTGGTGGCGGATTTGTGCTGGTTTTCAGTGGGCCGGGGTCGCTTTTTGAGGTGGACGGAATTGATTGTTACAGCGGCGCAGCCACCAGTTTTCTGAACGCTGAAAAATCAGCCCCAGTTGTTCCCAATCAGAATCAACCTTTGAAAAAGTCGCCAAAAATGCGCTTTTTTAGACGCGTATCCCTTGACGCCGGGTGCCTTGGAACGCAAGGCTCGGGGTAAAACCTACGCCCTGACAAGGAACTCGATGGTGGTGGGTGGTCGCTTGTCTGTACAATTGTGTTGCTTATTTATTTATACGTATAGATATGTCCAGGTGTCTGTAGCTTACTTACAAATATAGGGGGGAGGCCGCGGCTCTCGGTCCACCACAGGGGGTGAGGGGAAAATTGAAAGGGGGGGGTTGGTGGGTGTTTGTCTCAGTAGATGGCGTCCGACCAGGCGGTCGAAGCCCAAGAGAGGGCCGCGAGGGGCTCCGTCCGGCTGCAGCCATCGGTCGACCACGTCGACGCAGCAGCGTCCTCTCCTCGGTCCGTCTCGAATTGCCCCTCGGCGATCGTGGCGGACGTGTGGAGGGGATGCTGCTGCTGCTGCTGCTGCTGGCGAGCAGTTTGGCAGGCGGTGAGGTAGTCGGCGAAGGTCAGGGCCACCCCGTTGCCCTGGCGAGGTGAAGCCAGGGCGTTGACATTGCCGACGCCGAACTCCTCCTCGACCTCCTCGCCAGTGGTGGACAGGTCGAAAGTGGGAGAAGCGGACTGCGGGTACTGGTGGTGGTGGAGCTGGAGCTGCTGCTGCTGCTGCGCGTGGTACTCTGCAGATGGCGAGTAGGAGGAGTAGGTCGTCGGATGCCCGTAGAAGGCCGGATAGGAGAGGAACGCCGGAGCGGCATAGGCCAGATCGGGCAAGTAGTGCTGCTGCTGCTGCTGCTGCAGGAGAGAGAGCTGCTCGTCGGGGTGGTAGGACTCGTAGGACTCGTCGCCCGAAGAAGAAGAAGACGACGACGGGTGGTGGTAGTGAGAGTGGTGGCTGGGGTGGTGGTGGCCGCTGCAGCACGAGGGAGCGTCTTCGTGGTGGAACTCTCCCTCCTCGGGGCAGCACGACGTGCGCGGTGACGACGAGAAGGAAGAGGACGTGGACGCCGAGGAGAAGGCGATGGGTGGCGAGGAGAGCGGCGAGCAGCACGATGAGAAGCACTGGCGTCCCTGATGCGCATGCTCATGGTTGGGGTGCTGGTGGCGGCAGGGCTGCTGCTGCTGGTGCGCATGATCGTCGCTGGTGGGCGTCGAGGGAACCTCGTCGCCGTGGTCCTGGTGGTGGCGGTGGTGGGTGTCCCTGGGCCGAGGAGAGGTCTTCGGGCGGAGGGGGGACAGACGCGAACTCGTGGGGCTCCCCGACGAGGAGCACTTGGACAGCTCCTCGGTGATCTGCTCCACCTGCCAGGCCCCGAGGCGCTGCGCCATGGGCAGCCTCTCCAGGTGCGTGTAGCCTGCACGCGTGCACAACAAGCCGTGTAAGCCGTGTACGCCATGATGGGGCAGGTTCAAGCTTGTGTGGTGTGTGGGTGTGTAGTGTGTCCCCCGTGCACAGAGGAGGGAGGAGGGAAGGGAAAACGGGGGGAGGGGGTGCGTACACTGGTGCGCATCACCGCGGGGTCCTTTGCGGTTGCACTTGATGCCGGGAAAGGCTCGGCGGACCAGCTTGCCGAAGAACCTGGAGGGCGAGGCAGTGTGGTTAGCCACGCGCCCTGCACCTAGGCTGTGTGTGCGTGCGTGTGCGTGTGCGTGGCGCCAAGGGTGTTGGTGGCGGTGGTCGTCGTCGTACGTGTGCGATATGGGGGCGCCTTCCATGCCACTCTCCCGGCAGGCGTCCAGGTAGTGCTGGTAGACGAAGCTCTTCCTCATGGAGCCGGCTTCGCCGACGCGGTAGTGCTCCTTGAGCCAGATGACCACTTGGAGGCGGTTGTCGAGCTGGTTGCTGCCGCCGCTCGGAGTCGAGCATGAAGAGTCGTCCGAGAAAGCATCAGGGCTGGCCGTCTCGCCTTCGTACGCCATGGGGTCCATCTTGCGCAAGAGAGTGTGTGGTGCAGGGGAAAGTGGTGTGCGCGCGGGGCAGAGCTGCTCGCGCGAGTCGGTGGTGATGGTCGAGAGGTGCAATGAAAACAAAGAGTGGGGAGGAGGGCAGACATGGCTTTTGAACAGAGTGGCAGGGAGGGGGGTTGGGCGTCGTTCATGCCTAATTCGGGCCTCTATCTGGGCGAGCCGCAGCAACAGCACCCCCGATTTAGGCCGTGGGGCCGCCAGGCAACTGGTGACGCACGCACACGCCTCGCCTTCGCGATTTCCCCGGCAAATTTCCGCCATCGCCACTACCCCCTGCACGTCGTGTCCCGCACGGCACCCGTTCGAACTTGGCCACACCACAGTCAGCGCCAGGTCCGCAGCGCTCGTGTTCACCCCACGGAAATGCTGGTATTTATGGTATGTAAGAATATACTATTAAATGATATAAAGCAATTGTTTACAACATGTCGTTTGGGAAGGAAAACTATTTTCTCTCCCACGCGTACTACTCGCCCGTCAGCGGGAAGAAGTCGGAGACCAGCTCGTCAAGGAGGGCGCGGCGACCCAGGCGCAACCGCTTGGAGAAATACACCGTACGGTAGGCGGCCAGTTCGGCGTTGACCATCTTGGCGAGCAGGAAGTCCTTAAAGCTGTCATCCTTCCGGAAGACGGCAGGCTTGGGGAGAGGCGGCCCAAACACAGGAACATCCTGCAGCGCAACCAACCAACCAACCAACCAAGCGCGCGTAAGGTTAGTCCACACAAAACAAGTGGAAGAGGGTGGAGCACCTCTTTCGAAGCGACGGATACATGGTAGCGCGTCTGGGAGGCGTCATCTTCGAGAGAATCGCTAGGTATCCGTCGAATGGTGATCACGTTGTGGATGAAGTGGGAGCGAATGGTGTTGGCCGAATAGCTGGCGTCCTTACCTGGAAGGACATGAACGGAGGATGAGGTGATTAAAAAAAATAGAGAGAGAGAGAGAGAAGGGAGTCGGGCGCCGTACACCGCCCCCACTGGAAGTGGAGACGGGAAGATGAAAGGGGGAAAGGAAGAGGGGGAGGAGGAGCACGGTACCATCGAGGAAAACGAGGATGCAGATGTCGTTGCCGATGTGCCTCTTCCGAGCAATCTGCTGCGCCCCCTCGCCCTGAGGAAGCATGGTGGCGACGTGCCACATGATCTCGCTGCCTTGCCATTCGGTGAACCTCGAGAACTCACCTGATATGAGCCACCGGGGGGGAAGGTGTAAGTGGCGTGAAGGGGAGAGGGAGAGGGAGAACGTGGCGGTACCGGTGGTGTCGGTTTTGACGTCGAGCCCGCCAGCAAAGCGGTTCCATCCCTTGAGGCGAACCTTCTCGCCGATAAAGTTAAGGAACTCGTACCAGTCTACACTTCCTCCCGTGTTGCTGAATATGTCTGTTGCGGTCATTTATAAATGGGGAGATGGTGTGTGTGTGTGGGTGTGTGTGTGGGTGTGTGTGTGGTTAGCGGCGGCACTCAAGGGGTTGCGTGTTTTTGGTTGGAAGGTACCCTCCTCCTGCGTCTGGCCTTCCTTCACCAACATGAGCCCGAACTTGTATTTCCGGGGCCTTTCCTTGGCCTCGAGACGGCGAACGGCTTCCGGCATGTCGGGGTGCGTAATTTCCTGGCACATGACGTGGCGCGTGAATTCAACCAGTCTTGAGCAGCTGTGGGCGGGTGATGAGGAGACCTACGCGCGCGTAGGTGGGCATAGTTATACCTTGACGATGCCGGCCGAGAATAGGAGGGGATTCACGGTGTTGAGGAGCTTCTCAATGGGGTCTCTTCCACCAGCGGTGTCGATCGACACGGCCGGCATGGACACCTTCTGGTCGCCGTCCTGGGTGAACAGTAGCACCCGGAAGAAGGCCACCGTGGCCGCGTATGTGCCAGACGACGTTTGAAGAGCATCGCCAGACGTCTGGCTGTTCCGCTCCTCCCCCGCTTTCCCCTCTCGCTTGCAAGAGACCAGCACCGTGCCCAATGGGGTTTCTGCAGCAAGCGACCCATCGCGCGACCAGCAAAACCACGACCCGCTCTTATTAGGGGACACACGCGCGCGCGGACCCAATCCACCACTCACTATTCGAGCAGCGGCACCTGGTGGTAGCCCTCCCCCCCTAGTGCCCAGCGACGAATAGAGGAGGAGGGGAAGACCTACCGATGCCCAGAAAATTGCGATGGGGCTGCCCGTAGAAGTGCTCGTGGTACCAGTTGGTGCCTTCTGCGGCGAAGAAGGTGGTCGTGATCTGAATGCCACGATGGAGGACCCAGACGACGAGCAGGAGAAGGAGGAGGATACAAAACTGTCAGGCCTGTCTGAAACGATATCGGCGAGGAAGAAGAAGATCGACAGTTTCTGCGGTGGCATGGAGGCAACGCACCTCGCATTCATGTTCTTCTTCGACAACGAAGCCACTGTCTGCCGGTGCGAAGAGAGGACTTGGCGACCTGCCGCAAAGAGAATGAACGAGCACGCAAGTTAGCCGTGGAAGTTGAAACCCTGCGGGCGACACCGCCAACCGCCCACCGCCCACCATCAAGTAGTAAAGGAGGATTGCTGGCATATTGGTGGGAGGGGAGGTACTCGGATATGGCGGCAGATTGCTGGGAGTTGTTGTGGGCGGGGCCACGGTTGGAGTCTTCGCCGTCGCCGCTGGCGTCGTCGCGCTTAAACATGCTGAGAACGTCGCCCCGCTCCTTGGACTTGGCCCTGAGGCTCGACCTGCCCCCGACCTCCATCCCGAATCGGCTGTGGTCCACGCGAGACATGGCCATCAGCATGCTCTTCTTCCGCTCCTTCCGCCTGTCCGCGTCGCGCTTCTGCTGGCCGCCCTCCTCGTCCTTCACGTCGTCGCTGCTGGTGGTGGTGGTGCGTTCATCTTCCTCCTCGCCCTGGTGGTGGCCAGCTGCACCTCCCTTGGCCCGCTGACTGCCCTCGCCCATGGCGGCTGCTTCGGCATTGTTGGGGTCCTCCAGCGAGTCGTCGTACAGATGGCTCCCGATCTCCACGAGGGAGCCTTCGCCCGTCGCAGTGCTCTTGCTACTCCGCGGTCCTCCGCCGCCCAGGCCGCGGGGCGCCATGGATTCCAACCGCGCAGGTACACCTGCTCCCCGTCACCACCGCCGCCCCGACCGTTAGCACCCCGCTCTAGCGGCGGAGATGTGTGGTGCGCACCAGAAGCAAGCTGCCCCTTGAGCACGGCTATCTCGTGCTTGGCGGCCTGCAGCTGTGTCTTGAAGTGTTGCACCTGCACACGACACACACGTACACACACATGCACGCACGCACACACACACACACACACACATCCACCAGCAGCAGCCGCCGCCATGCACTCACCGCATTTAGAGGAGGATCACGCAGACCATTTCCTCCGAGAGGGGAAGCAAACAGTCCGGCTGTCCGGCCAGCCAGCCCGCCGTAGATCTCGGAGGCACCAAGTGAGTGAGTGGATGGGTGGGGGGGGGCTTTACCTCGTTGTGCTTTTCCTGCAGCAGGATCTGCAGCTGCTCGATATGCTCCCGCAGCACCTGCACTCCCGCCAACCAACAACCAACAACGCGCAAAGAGGAGCGATGGGGAGAGGAGGACGAGGAGGGAGAAGAGAGCGAGAGAGACGAAATGTCAGCGGCTTAGTGGTCGCGATGAGTGGTACGGGCGCCGGGTGACAAGATAGGAGAGAGAAAGAGCGAGAGAGCGAGGAGAGAAGGAGGAGGAGGAGAAGAAGAAGAGTGGTGAATAAACAACGCACCTTGTTCTCCTCCTCGGTGGATCGCACCACCATGACGGTGGTGCCGCGTCTGCGCAGCGTGGCGTTGCCCGAGGACGAGGAGGTCAGGGGAGAGGCGGCGTCCGGGGGCGAGCTGGCCGCGTCGCGGGACGAGTGTGGGAGCTCGGAGGAGGAGGAGGAGGAGTGGGGCGAGGAGAGGAGGAAGGAGTTTGACTTGGTGAGCACGGTGGAGAGCGGGAGGGGCACGTTGGCCATCAGCGCCGACCAGCGCCGCCACGTCTTCTTTTCCCCCTCCTCCATCGCTCCGTCTCCACCGTCTGCACCGCCGCCACCAGTCGCGGGTGGGACAGAGGCGGCCGAGTCCACCCCCAGCTCGGCGGTTGCGGGCGTGTCGGCCTTGGCCGAGCGGCGCTTCTTGCGGCCGGAGAGCCCGCTGGGGCTCTCGTCGCCGGTGCGGAGGGTGTCGCTGGCGGCCGACGAGCGCGGGGTGGAGCTCATGTGCTGCTGGTAGTGGACGTCCATCGTCGAATAGCTCTTCTTGCGCAGCCCGGACCGCGGCGAGCGGCTGGGCGTGCGCGGAGAGGCCGGCACGCCCGCCCCCTGATGTTGATGGGCGGCTGCGGCTGATGTTGCTGTTGGCCCCGCGCTACTCGCCGCCTCTGGTCCGCCTTGGTCGTCGTTGTTGATCGAGACCTGGCCACCACCCTCCGCGCCGTTGTCCTCTGCGGTATCGCGTGGCGAGACTCCTCCTCTCGGCGTCTCCTTGCCCTTGAGCTTGCTTTTCCATTCTTTGATTTTGGCCTTGGACATTAGGGGATGCTGGGGTGGGTCTTGGCTGGCGTTTTGAGGAATAGCCAAGAGGAGCGACGACTCTATATCTATCTACCGAGGGGTATGGTTTCACTCGGCCCCCCTTCAACGCACTAGTGATCCTTCCACTACGCGGCGCGCGGGTTGGTGGTGGCTTCGCCAACGGAAACAACACACCACCAGGCCTGAGTCCCACCCCCGGATAAATCCGGGCGCCCCCGCCGCTGGTCTGAAAAAGGGCAAAGCAGGGGAAGGGACGTGATCCCACACAGCACAGGCGCCCCCCCCCAAAGCAGCACCACCACCAGCAACAGAGAGAAGGCCACAGCAGAGAGAAGATGGAGCGCACCCCGACCACGACTAGCAGCAGCGCCGTGAGGCGAGTTCGCATGACGGAAGCGCACCTGCGGGC